TATTATTATTATTATATTTGGTTCCTAAAGACCGGGATTCCACAGACCCCAGCAAGTACCGCCCCATAACGTGTCTACCTACCATATACAAGACACTAACATCCATTTTGAGCGCGAGAATCACTCGTCACCTGAACTCAAATCAGGTGATGTCGCGCGCTCAAAATGGATGTCGGGGCGGTGGTCGTGGAACCAAGGAACCACTCCTCATTGACGCGGTCATTGGCAAGGTGGTTAAACGCAACCGTCGGAACCTCTCCGCCGCCTGGATAGACTACAAAAAGGCATTCGACTCGGTGCCTCATACATGGCTTAAGAGGGTCCTCGAGCTGTACAAGGTCGACTGTACAGTTCGAGACTTCCTCGGGCAGTGTATGGGGCAGTGGAGTACGATCCTTTGTCATCTAGGCCAGCGGATGACGGCTGCGGAGAACCACATAAGGATAAGAAGGGGTATCTTCCAGGGCGATTGTTTGAGTCCAATCTGGTTCTGCCTCTCTCTGAATCCTCTCAGTACCTTACTGGAGGGTTCCGGAAGGGGATTTCAGCTTCGGAAAGGAGGTACAAAAGTGACCCACCTTTTCTATATGGATGATCTCAAGTTATTCGCCTCCAGTCGCTCCCATCTTGTGGAATTGCTAAACATCACTTGTGATTTTAGCAATTCTATTGGAATGGAGCTGGGGACGGATAAGTGTGCGATCCTCCATGTCGAAAGGGGAAGGGTTGCTAACTCTGAGGGCATGGACTTATCTATGCCCATCAGCATAAGGACCCTTTCCGAGGCTGAAACATACCGATACCTGGGTATGTCACAGAACATCGGTGTCGATGAGGCGGGTATGAAGCAGTCAGTTTGCGATGTGTTTTATGCACGCTTGACAAAAATGCTTAACAGTCTTTTGTCGGGCGTTAATAAGACACACGCTTATAACGGTTGGATCATGCCTGTTCTCATGTATACCTTTGGCATACTCAGGTGGACTCAGACCGAACTGAACGCTCTGGACAGAAAAGTCCGCACTATAATGACGTCCCACAGAGTGCATCATCCGAGATCGTCGGTAATGAGGATGTACTTGCCGCGGAGGCATGGTGGGCGCGGCTTTTTAAGCGCGCTTACCCTGCATAATCGCGAAGTGTGCAGCCTCCGTAATTATTTTCTGGCGAGAGCGGATGATCCATTCTATAGGGACGTTATTTTTTGTGATAAAGGACTTACCCCTCTATCCTTAGCCAACGAGCAATGGCAAGACCCGGAAGTACAGAGCATTTCCGACCGGGAGACCGTATGGAAGGAGAAGGAGCTCCACGGGAGGTTCTACAAGGCTCTACATGAGCCTTTCGTAGATACAGTTGCCTCCCTCCACTGGCTACGTTTTGGTGACCTCTTCGGGGAAACCGAGGGTTTTGTCTGTGCAATACAGGATCAGGTTATTAAGACCAACAACTATCGGAGATACATCCTAAGGGATGGCACCGTCGACATTTGTCGAGCTTGTCGCCATCCCGGTGAATCACTTAGGCATGTCATCTCCGGTTGTTCGGCGCTTTCTAACTCTGAGTACTTGCATAGGCACAACCTAGTAGCCAGGATTCTACACCAGGAGCTCGCTCTGAAATACGGTCTCATGGATCGGAAACTGCCTTATTATAAGTACATGCCGGAAGCCGTGCTCGAAAATGACCGCGCCAGGCTCTACTGGGACCGGGCCATCATCACAGACAGGACTATTCTTGCGAATAAGCCTGATATTGTGCTGATGGACCGGGCACAGTCAAGGATATTTTTGGTCGACATTACCATTCCGTATGACGAGAACCTCGTGAAAGCCGAAACAGATAAGCGAACAAAATATCTGGACCTGGCTCACGAGGTGACCGACATGTGGGGTGGACTGCCGGCCGAAATTATACCTGTAGTCGTTTCTGCGAACGGGTTAATCCCAGTCAGCCTCTCGGGTCATCTGAGGCGACTGGGACTCCGTGACGGACCGCTCCAAGCTCAAATGCAGAAGGCGGTGCTCCTCGATACCGCCCGCATCGTCCGCCGGTTTCTTTCCCTTTCCCCCTAACCCTCGGCCGTCTGGTCTCCCCTGCCGAGGGCTTCCATCTGGTTGGGTTTTTATTTATTTATGTATTTTTTATGCATTTATTTTATTTCGTTGATATTTATGTATGTTTATCATTTTCATTTACAATTATATATTTATACAGCCCAACCAGATGAGTAAACTATATAGATGCCCCAAAATAATAATAAATTTAGAACAACCCCACGTCGACTTACTGGCTTCAAATAAATGGTTAAAACTAGGTTCTCTTTTTCCTGAAACTGAAGGTTTTCTTATTGCTATTCAGGATCAAGTAATCAATACAAGAAACTATAAAAAATATATATTAAAAGACCCAAACATGCAGAACGATAGCTGTAGAAAATGTCACCGCCTACCCGAAACTATACAACATATCACCAGTGCTTGCCCTAGCCTAGCACAAACTGATTACACCCACCGGCATAACCAGGTTGCTAATTACATTCATCAAAAGCTTGCAAATAAATATAATTTAATCCCGAACCAACTACTATTGCCATACTATCAATATACCCCTAAACCTGTTCTGGAGAGCGACAGTCACAGAATGTACTTTGATAGAGCTATTCTTACCGATAAAACGATTCATTACAATAGACCGGATATAACTTTAATTGACAAATTAAATAAAATAGTATACCTAATTGATATAGCAATCCCAAATACCCATAATCTACAAAAAACCATTACTGAAAAAATTCTTAAATACACAGAACTAAAAGAAGAAGTAACTAGAATCTGGAAAATGAACAAAGTATACATTGTGCCGCTGGTGCTCTCCAGTACTGGTGTGATCCCGAAATGTTTGCCCCACTCCCTTAAACTATTAGATCTTCCTGAAAATAGTTATATTACCATGCAAAAAGCAGCCATCCTCAACACTTGTCGTATAGTCCGAAAATTTTTGCAAGAAGACACCTCAAATTTTGATTCCCAAAGGGACGCGCACTTGGCTTAGGCCCGTGAGCATTTCTTAAAAACCAAGATCTTAGAAAATCTTGAGAAAAAAAGGAGTAGAAAAGATAATAATAATAATGTCTCCCCTGCCGAGGGCTTCCATCTGGTTGGGTTTTTATATATTTATGTATTTTTTATGTATTTATTTTATTTTATTCATATTTATGTATGTTTACCATTTTCATTTACAATTATATATTTATACTGCCCAACCAGATGAGAAAACTTTATAGATACCCCAAAATAATAATAATAAATAGGCGTAGGGAAGTGAAGACCCCATCGCCCGCTGACGTAACAAATAAGTGACAAAATTGCTATGTCAGCGCAGTCAGTCAGTGCCTTGCCAAGAGGTGTGAGCGCTGTGCCTCGGCAGTATTGAGGGTGCAAAGGCCCGTTTGTGCTTACGGCCACACTATTAAACGGCGCCGGGTCTGGGCGTCTCCCGTTAATTGACGCCTAATTTAATGGATGATGGAAAAAATAGAACGCGCATAGGGCCGCTGCCTGGGGGTCGCCGGGGCGCGTCTGGAGCTGGAGCAGGACGTGACAGCATGAGAGTCGCCAGCCGAGCGCGAGGTGCTGCACGACCACCTAGCAGCCCCTCGCGTCCATCATCCCCACCAGACGGCTTGGTGTCTGCGGGGTCCTCTCGGACTCGGCAAGCGGCACCCGCCGCTGGTGGAGTACGCCGCATGCGTTGGACAAAAAATATGAACATAAACGCATTGCGGGCGTAGGTACTATAGGGCGAAAGGGGAAGAAACTGGAGGGATAGCGTATCGGGCTCGGATGCATCGCTTTTTTGCTGAGCTTGAGCCGTCAGTTCCCGTCACGGAGCAAAACCTGGCAGACCGAGTTCGGTACATCATACGCTCGAAAATATTTGATGATGCCGAACTCGAACGACTACGACGTGAGGCTATTCCCTCATCGAATAAACCGGCTATAGCTGGGGATGCGGATCTTCAGGCCACAGACCAGCAGCCACATATAGAGGGCGCCATGGATCTCGCCGCTCTGGTTGATTCAGGCGATGATGGAATGGTCACCCAAGAACTAGAGCAGATGAGGAGTAAATTGGAGGAGGCGATTGTGGAAACGCGCAGTACGCCTCTCGAAAATCGACCGCGACTCCCGCCCATTTTTTTTTATAGGAGAGGGGGCAAACGAGCATGCGGCTCACCTGATTGTAAGTGACTACCGCCGCCCATGAACAACCGCAACACCAGGGGAATTGCAGATGCGTTGCCGGCCTTTTAAAAAGGAGTAGGCTCTTTTCTTGAAGGTCCCTAAGTTGTATCGGTCCGGAAAAATCGCTGGTGGTAGACTATTCCACAAGGAAGTTGTGCGAGGAAGAAAACATCTTCTAAATCGCATAGTGGTGGACCGCCAATCATCCAGATGGTGTGGATGGTATCGGGAGTTCTGCCGCGATGTGCTTTCGTGAAATTTGGCGGCTGGGATTAATCCGAACAATTCCTCAGAGCACTCCCCATGGTAAATGCGAAAGAAAATGCTAAGAGATGCAACATCTCTTCGCAGTGCCAATGAGTCGAGCCGATCGGAAAGGACTCGGTCGTCGACGATTCGAGCCGCTCTGCGCTGGATGCGGTCAAGTGGAAGAAGCTGGCACTGGGGAGCCCCAGCCCAGAGATGGGAACAGTATTCCATGTGAGGCCGAACCTGCGCCTTGTAAAGTTGCAGGCGTTGAGCCGGCATGAAATACTGTCCCGCTCTGCTGAGCACGCCAAGCTTTTTAGAGGCCAATTCGGCCTTTTCTTCCAAGTGACCACGAAACTGCACGCTACTCGATATGTCGACGCCAAGGATTCCGATACTGGCTGAGGCAACTAGGGGAGTACCTTGAAACTGAGGAGATACGACAAAGGGGTTCTTTTTAGCGGTAAATGCGCAAACTTGTGTCTTCTGAGGATTAAACTGGACTAGATTTAGTCGCCCCCAATCCGAGACTTTGTCCAGCAAAGACTCGACTTCAGACACAAGTTTGTTCCGGTACTCGGTGACGTTTTCCCGAGAAATATTGGCACGGCCGGTGTAGAGAGCATCACCAGTGCTGTCATTCGCATAGCAATGAATGCTACCGGCTTGCAACATATCATTGATATGCAGAAGAAACAGCGTTGGTGATAGCACGCAGCCTTGTGGAGCACCAGCGTTAATAGGCTTGTAGTCGGAGCATGCACCGTCTACAACGACCTTGATGCTCCGATCTGCAAGAAAGCTGGTGATCCAATTGCATAATTTCTCGGGAAGCCCATAGGAAGGGAGCTTCGAAAGAAGCGCTTTGTGCCAAACCCGATCGAAGGCCTTCGCAATGTCCAAACTAACGGCTAATGCCTTCCCCTTGGACTCTACTGCCAACGCCCATCTATGAGTTAAGTAGACCAGAAGATCACCAGCTGATCGACCTCAACGAAAAACGTACTGGCGGTCACTAATCAGCTAGTGATCCTCAAGGTACCGCGTGAGGTGGCAGTTTACAACGGATTCCATTATTTTGGAGAACAAGGGGGTGATGGCGATAGGCCTGTAGTTGGACGGATCTGAGCGGTCGCCTTTTTTAGGGATCGGGTGGACAAAAGCTGTCTTCCATGATTTCGGGACTACGCCTAGGGAGTAGGAGTACCGGAAAAGACGCGTTAGAACCGGTGCCAACTCCGGAGCACACGTCCTCAGCACAATTTGGGGGATTCCGTCAGGCCCACTCGACTTGTGGATGTCAAGGGAGAGGAGTGCTCTACGAACCGAGCGCTGTGAGAACCGCACATCCGGCATGGAGCACTCACACCGCGGGATGGTCGGCGGTGTGTTCCCCCCGTCATCAACAGTCAAGTTGGACGCAAAAAGGGAGCCTAAAAGGTCGGCCTTCTCTTTTGCGTCGTGGGCCAGTGAGTCGTCCTCCCTGTGCAGAGATGGTAGTGATGACTTACAGAAATTCCCTTGGACAGCCTTGGCGAGAGACCAGAATGCACGGGTTCCCGAAGGAAGGCGTACTATAACTGTTTTGAAGGACCTATAGGCGAAGTTATACTTCTTTTTGAGCGTGCTGGTGTTTACATCCCGAGTCACCGAAGCCGCAGCCCAGGCTTGATAACACTCCTGCTTACTGCGTAATGCAGTCTTACAGGAGCGACCAAACCAAGGCTGAGATCTGCCTCCGATGGGTACCACAGATGATGGAATAAATAGTTCCATTCCCTGTAGCACCACATCAGTGACAGAGTCAGCAACAGCGCTGGGATCCGGCGAGAAGCAAACCCGCCCCCATGGGTAGGAAGCAAAGAAAGACCGCATTCCGTCCCAATCCGCCGACCTGTAATGCCAAACACGGCGGCAACCTGCAGAACGCAACCGCGAGGGGAGCGTGAGTGGCACCACACTCCGGATCAGACAATGGTCCGAAGAGCCAAGAGGGGCATCGACGGAAACCTGATATCCGTCCGGATGAGAGGTCAGCAGAAGGTCCAACAGGGAAGGTGTATGATCCTCAACATCTGGAATCCGCGTAGGCGATGTAACCAGTTGTGTCAGACCATATGCCAAGGCAAAGTCATAAACAGATCTCCCCGCATGATCGGTTAAACGTGAACCGAGCCAATCGGCGTGGTGGGCGTTAAAATCGCCAAGGATCACGATCTCTGCGGATGGGACCTGTTGTAGCAAGGAATCTGTAGCCATTTGGACGTGGTCGATGAGTCGGTCTGTTTCGGCATTACCGCTATGGGACCTATAGAGGCACACGTAGATGCGCGGATGGTCGTCACTGTCTACGCGTAGCCAAAGGATGGACAGGTCCGAACCTTCAAGACTGCCGAGGCGTCGAGAACAGATGTCCTCTCTGACATACACGCAAACTCCAGCCCGAGGCACAAAGAAGTGCTCCAATTTGTACCCCGGGTAGGAGAGATACGAAGTATCAGCCGGAGAGGACACCTGCGTCTCGGTCAGAAAGAGCAAGGCCGGCTTCGCCGTCTCAAGATGGTAGTGGACGGCGTTTAGGTTCGAGTGAAGTCCCCTGATGTTGCAGAAATTCACGGATAGCGTGGCAGGGGTCGCCTTGGTCTTGTTGCTCAGTTTGCCCCGAGCAGTTATTGTGTTGAGCGGAATTTTGCCCCCCCCCCCCCCAGAATACGCGGGGCAGCCTGAGCACCCACGCTCAGGAGTGGAATAGCATGGTCGTGGATGCTCAGCGAGGGATTCTCCAGGGGTACTGGTACCCTCCTGGGGTAGTTTATGACGTAATTCCGCTACCATGTTGATGGGGGGGGGAATTGGGCCTCCGGTCACCTGCACTCACCAGACGAAACGCGGAAGCCACTACTGGCTGAAGGGGTTCGTGGTGTGTCACGCTGTGCTCGCCCGACAGTTTCAAGAGGCTCTCAACCAGAAGTCGCTCCCGAGCCTCTTCACTACTGGGATCACTCATTTGGTTCCTAAAGATCAGGATACCACAGACCCGAGCAAATACCGCCCCATCACGTGTCTACCCACGATATACAAGACACTAACATTCATTTTGAGCGCGAGAATCAGTCGTCACCTGAACTCAAATCAGGTGATGTCGCGCGCTCAGAATGGATGTAGGGGCGGTGGTCGTGGAACCAAGGAACCACTCCTCCTTGACGCGGTCATTGGCAAGGTGGTTAAATGCAACCGTCAGAACCTCTCCGCCGCCTGGATAGACTACAAAAAGGCATTCGACTCGGTGCCTCACGCATGGCTTAAGAGGGTCCTCGAGCTGTACAAGATTGACTGTACAGTTAGAGACTTCCTCGGGCAGTGTATGAGGCAGTGGAGTACGATCCTTTGTCATCTAGGCGAGCGGATGACGGCTGCGGAGAACCACATAATGATAAGAAGGGGTATCTTCCAGGGCGATTGTTTGAGTCCAATCTGGTTCTACCTCTCTCTGAACCCTCTCAGTACCTTACTGGAGGGCTCCGGGAGGGGATTTCAGCTTCGGAAGGGAGGTACAAAAGTGACCCACCTTTTCTATATGGATGATCTCAAGTTATTCGCCTCCAGTCGCTCTCATCTTATGGAATTGCTAAACATCACTTGTGATTTTAGCAATTCTATTGGAATGGAGCTGGGGACAGATAAGTGTGCGCTCCTCCATATTGAAAGGGGAAGGGTTGCTAACTCTGAGGGCATAGATTTATTTATGCCCATCAATATAAGGACCCTTTCCGAGGCGACAGATGTCACAAAACATCGGTGTAGATGAGGCGGGTATGATGAAACAGTCAGTTTGCGATGTGTTTTATGCACGCTTGACCAAAATGCTTAACAGCCTTTTGTCCGGTGTGAATAAGACGCACGCATATAATGGTTGGGTCATGCCTGTTCTCATGTATACCTTTGGCATACTTAGGTGGACTTAGACCGAACTAAACGCTCTGGACAGAAAAGTCCGCACTATAATGACGTCCCACAGGATGCATCATCTGAGATCGTCAGTAATGAGGCTGTACTTGCCGCGGAAGCATGGTGGGCGCGGCTTTTTAAGCGCTCTTACCATGCATAATCGCGAAGTGTGCAGCCTCCGTAATTACTTTCTGACGAGAGCGGATGATCCATACTATAGGGACGTTATTACTTGTGATAAAGGACTTACCCCTCTATCCTTAGCCAACGAGCAATGGCGGGACCCGGCGGTACAGAGCATTTCCGACCGGGAGACCGTATGGAAGGAGAAGGAGCTCCACGGGAGGTTCTACAAGGCTCTACACGAGCCTTTCGTAGACACAGTCGCCTCCCTCCACTGGCTACGTTTCGGTGACCTCTTTGGGGAAACCGAGGGTTTTGTCTGTGCGATACAGGACCAGGTTATTAAGAACAACAATTATCGGAGATACATCCTAAAGGATGGCACCGTCGACGTCTGTCGAGCTTGTTGCCATCCCGGTGAGTCACTTAGGCATGTCATCTCCGGTTGTTCGGCGCTTTCTAACTCTGAGTATTTACACAGACACAACTTAGTAGCCAGGATTCTACACCAGGAGCTCGCTCTGAAATACGGTCTCGTGGATCGGAAACTGCCGTATTATAAGTACTTGCAGGAAGCCGTACTCGAACATGACCGCGCCAGGCTCTACTGGGAACGGGCCATAATCACAGACAGGACTATTCTTGCGAATAAGCCTGATATTGTGCTGATGGACCGGGCACAGTCAAGGATATTTTTGGTCGACATTACCATTCCTTATGACGAGAACCTCGTGAAAGCCGAAACAGATAAGCTGACAAAATATCTGGACCTGGCTCACGAGGTAACCGACATGTGGGGTGTTCTGCCGGCCGAAATTATTCCTGTGGTCGTTTCTGCCAACGGGTTAATCCCAGTTAGCCCCTCGGGTCATCTGAGGCGACTGGGACTCCGTGATGGACCGCTCCAAGCTCAAATGCAGAAGGCGGTGTTCCTCGATACCGCCCGCATCGTCCGCCGGTTTCTTTCCCTTTCCCCCTAACCCTCGACCGTTTGGTCTCCCCTGCCGAGGGCTTCCATCTGGTTGGGTTTTTATATATTTATGTATTTTTTATGTATTTATTTTATTTTATTGATATTTATGTACGTTTACCATGATTATTTACAATTATATATTTATATTTCCCAACCAGATGAGAAAACTTTATAGATACCACATAATAATAATAATAGGATCAGGTTATTAAGACTAACAATTATCGGAGATACATCCTAAAGGATGGCACCGTCGACATCTGTCGAGCTTGTCGCCATCCCGGTGAGTCACTTAGGCATGTCATCTCCGGTTGTTCGGCGCTTTCTAACTCTGAGTATTTGCACAGACACAACCTAGTAGCCAGGATTCTACACCAGGAGCTCGCTCTGAAATACGGTCTCGTGGATCGGAAACTGCCATATTATAAGTACTTGCCGGAAGCCGTGCTCGAAAATGACCGCACCAGGCTCTACTGGGACCGGGCCATCATCACAAACA